TCTCTTCCTTAGCAAGATACTTCTCCTGTATTTGTCTCTTGTATTATTTTAAAAAATTTGAAACCCCGGAATAATATTTTCGCCCACTTGGATCGAGCTAATTGATTTACGCTCAATTGTCATTACGCCAAATTATCTCTGCGCCTATTATCCCGATACTAGCGCAGAATTGACATATGCTCAATTGAGAGTCAAATTGGTGCCGAAGTGACTTGGCTGAATTGACATTCGCCGAAATTAACTCATTATTTATTAAAACGTTTTTTTTATTGATCAAAGTATATTTTTTTGATAAAAAAAACTGAAGAATTTAATATTAGTATTCTATTTATACTGAGTAAAATTAATTTTATATTGTTAAAAATGAAAAAATATGCCGATCAAATAAAATACTTGGAATTTCATATAAATTTTTCGAAAAAAAGTCTTATACTGCAATTATTAATTTTTGATACATAAACATTTATTTTAATACTTTATATTATAATGATCGATATATATATTTATATATAATTAATTGATTGGAGAATGTGGAGTTCAACTCATGCTCTTCTTCAATAATGATATCACTATCTGCTGATGATATATTTTCATTTTCTAAAATTTCAGCAGTTATAATTGGATGATTTTATGCTGTCCATATAAATTGCATTTTGTGGAAATTACTTTTCCACATGTTTATTGCTGTCTATTACTATTTTTAGAATGGGTTCTTCTAAAATAAGATCAAATTCATCCAAAGCAGCATTCCAGAGGAATTTCCACCATATCAGAGTTTGAATATGCTTTTAAGTTTCCCATATTCTCACGTTTTCCAAAACCACTCTTGATCGAAATTTTAGGAGATTGACTAAAAGAACCCCGTTATCATGATTGAATTCTCAATTAGTGCATTGACCGTAGCCATGCCAGGTGATATCTCATCATTGGTTGATTCAAAGTCATTAAAGCGAGGATAATTATGTATTTGTGAATATTTTTTAAAAAATTTGCACTCACTTTTTTTAAATGGAAGAAGAAATTACTAAGATGAATTTTAAGAAATTTAAGTAGGTAGTGTTTTATCAATTTATATGCAATGAAAGCAAATTTTGGTCTAAGGTTATCAATCAATATAAATGTATTATGTAAAATAAAATTTAACAAAATTATATTTCCATTGGGGATGGGGTATCCCCAAGACGCCACTGTCTAGAGACAAATCTTCTAGCTTATTTTCAATTTTCACACAAAGTGTGAATAGATTTGGCCATATCAAAATGGTACTTAGTTCTTCTTATCTCATAAAGTGTAGTTGCATCTCAGAATCACGTGCTTATAACTCAATTAGGAATTAGTATACATTTTTAAAAGCTCCTATATCCTTACTTTAGCCTCAATTTTATCTTACCTTGAGCCGGGTTCTCTTTAAAAGTTTTAATAAATGGTTTTTATAAAATCCAAAACGATGGGTTAAACATTTATTTACCTTCATTATATTTTTGATAAAGAGAAGAAAAACTAATATAGCACGATAAATCACATATTTGATTTGAATTGCACATATAAAATCATATTTATTGCACAAATATTGCATGTATATTTTAAGATAATAAATTTATATTAAAGGCGGATGTTTCGTTAATAAACAAGTATATTCTCAAATTCAATTTCTAATAATTTACATTCCTCATATATAAGTAAAAAGCTTCTATTTTGTCCTGTTTAATGCTAACACGCAATCTTTTTTCTATCTTAATTTGTTAAAGCTCTGCTTACAGAGTTCAATGCCAATCAGTGAAACTTTTATCGAGGATTATTTGTGAATACTATTCCGCGAGGACTATCGCTAACTATTTTCAGCTATTACTTAACTGGTAAAATTTTATAGGGAAGTCATTATCGCGAAGAAAATATACTAAAACCATTTTGTGAATAATATATCACGATAATTGCTAATAGTGACTATTTCCTTTTTAAGATAATATTATTTAAATAATATTTTTATTAAATAGGTTGAAAAATCGATTCAATGAAAATGCTTTAATTTTCTTTTAACCTTAATAAATTTATATGATTATTGAGCTAAGATGTTTAGAAAATTTATTATTAGAATACAATTTTCTAGGTTACCCTGTTCTATGCTTTTCGAAATTTATTTTATTAGAATCGCCGCTTTATTAATCATTAGTTAACCTTAGCTATAAAAATGAGATCTGGCTTGCACCAATATTTATTACCTGGTTAGTGCTAATTGTTCATTAGCAATCAATCAGTTTTGCCAGTCACTAACCAAGAACCAGTTACCTATATCGGATTTTTAATCTCGATTCAAAAATCTGATTCAGAGTATTTTTGGATCGTGTAATTTACTATGGTTATAGATATTTTTTTTCTTTATATATATATATATATATAAGTAAAAGTTTAGTTACATTTTAAAAAAAAATTGACATAGCCTTAAACATGATGTTTATCAAATATTTGCAAGCACTAATTAAGCTTAAACTAATATATAACTCTAAATTATAATTATGGATATTCACAAATAAATAAAAAGGGTATTAAAAATGTCCAAAAAATAAAACAATGAACTATATTATCATTACTGCTCTCACGATTGAGGGAATAGTCAGATTTGAGTTTCTTGATATAAAGAGGAATAACTGAGGAGAATGATTATTTTAGAATAAACCTATATTCCAAAATGTAGAAGAGGGGAAATTATTAATGATTTATATAATTTTATTTTTCTACTAAATACATCGTAATTTTATGATAATTTTTTATAAAGAAATAAAAATTAAGTGAAAATAAAAATACAAAGAGAAAGAGAAAATAAGGATTAAAAGTCAAGAAATTGTTATGTAAATGAAAAGTTAAAAATGACATAAAAATAGAGAATTGAAGAAAATTGACAGAGAAAATTAGGAAATTATTTTTAAAAAGAAAAAAGAATGATCAATAATGAGAAGAGAAAAAAAATAGAAATTAAAATGACAAAGAGATCGTAATAGGCAAAAAATAAAATATGACAATCAAAATTTAAGAAAAATTATATTACAGGGTTATAAAAATGAAAACAATATTTTTTTTAAAAAAAATTTCCCTTTTTTATAGATATATTCATTTTTTAATTTACACACTTCTTTTTTTGATCGGACCTTTTTCTTTGATTCTTTTCCTTTTTTGGATGAAGAACCCTGTAAATTATTTGCAATATAGTTTATGCTCTCGCGATAATGACTTTCACGCAAATAATTTTATAAAGGATTCGCGTTAAAAGTTTCGCTAAAATTTCGCGTAATTAAATTCTTGATAATGGGTTCGCTATATTGTCTCGTTAGAAATGTTTCTCGATATTAACTTTCAATATAAGTTTCGCCAAATTGACCTGATACGGCTCACATCGTACTTGTATAACTGACCATGTTATTAAAAATTCATAAGCTATGGATATTTTAAATATCCAACAGGGCATATATATGTTAGCGTCAATGTGTTATTTTTTCAAATTTAAATCATTTTTTGAGCACCTATTTTACAGAAAATGTATACCATAATGTTTGGAATACCTATTACGCTATGAATTTCAGACAATATTTCCATGAACTTTTAAACTTAATAATTTATATTAAATTTTTTATATAAATTATAAATTCAAAAATTAACAGCAAAATTATCTACAATTCATATAGGTTTCAAACATGATAGAATATATTTCTGGTAAAATCCGATTTTTAAATTTAATAAAACGCGCTCAAAAAATGATAAAATAACACATTGCAGGAAAAAACACATTGACGCTGGCATATACAAATAAGGCAATTTTTACATTTTATACAATGTATTCATTGTTATCCAAAACTTTTTCCAATTCTATATTTTCTTTGGATATTTTATCAGCAGGATTTTTATTTTCATATATCCTATCAAACTATATTCTTGTAATTCACGACTGAGGATTTTTACTAATTCAGTGAGTATATCTAGCCATTCCTTAATACCTTAGTTATTATACAAAATTTGAGTGAAAATAATATTTATTGTTAATTGGGTCTTTATTTTTAAAATCTCTCATTAATACTAATGATTGTTTGGTTAAGTATAAACTTAAATACCTTTTCTATAAAAATTCATGATTTTTATCATTAATCTTTAATTTTATTGGAATTCTTTTCCTGCAATTAATTCAATGACAAGGTAATTCACATTCAATATTTTCATGTAAAATTTTATCAAAAAAAATTTCATTTATTGAAATAAAATCCAAATTAGAAATAACTAATTTGAAACTTCAATATAAATATTTTTTGTCTGAAGATAGCGCGATATTGGTACAATTATTATAATAATTTTAAAAAATATTTACAGTTAATAAAATTTTAAATTTTTATAAGTTTATGATTGAATACTTATTGTAATAGGTGACAAACATTTGCTTCATATACCTTTATGACAGCTTTTTCTCGAGCCCACCATCTTGTCTCATCGATTTTTTGTCGTTTATTAAATTTTCTGGCCTACAGCATTATTTCTATCCTTCCAGGCTTGCATACATTTACAGAATTCCCCAAATAAAGTTTTCAACCCTATTAAAAAGTAGAAGTTTCGTTTTATTTGAGTTTTGTTTCATCAAATCAGCCTCCAATCCATCATAAATAAAGAGTAAATTTTTGATTCACCCGTCATTCTTTGACAGAAGTATAATAATAATCCTTATACGAAGCAAAATTATTAGATATAAAAGAATAAAATTACATTTCATAATGAACATTCTAGGAAAAATTTCCTTAATCATCGTTCTCGTTCCATAATTTTCCCCAAAGTTCCATTCCCGAAACATTTTATTCCAGATTCTTATAAGTAATAAATTATTGCCTTTATCATAAATTTCTTTAATGTAAGAAAGATCTACTTAAATGACATCCTTTTTTTTAATTTTGTAATTCGATTAATAATACTTAATATATTTCAAAAAAACTCATTATATAAAATAACATTTTTTTAAATATTTTCAGACCTCAAGTATTAAAGCATTCTAATTGTAAAAGCATAATAAGGCAAGTATGTTTTAGTCCTATAATAACGGAAGCCAATAACAAAATCGAAAACATGAATGAATCAGAAAAATTAAATAATGCTAAACAAAGTTTTATGTCATTGATAGGTGTGTGCGACGATTCTACTATTTGGAGATGGGATATCCAATTTTAATTTAAATGTTAATATTTTATTATAATTTAACTTCAAAATCTGTAATACTTTTTAAATTAATGCAATGCAATATGTAAAATACAATGTTTATGTATGTTTTATTATAATTTATCAAAATCGATAATTTTTCTAATGATTATTTATCGTTGATTAATATATTTTTTTAAAGGTATTGTGCACTTTATTTGAAATTAAATGAAATAGCATAAATATTATATTCCATATGATTTTAATATACCCAAACCCAACTCTTCCTCTTTCTTTAGGAACTTAGTTTTTAAATGACAAAATGTTTTAACTAGTGCTGTATCACACGTTACAAATTATTCAGGTTACCTTGTTATTATGGGGAAAGTAATGAATCAAACTAACGTGTTACATTTCAAGTTACTCGTAACTTTCTAAGCTACTTGTTTATATTATATTTTTTGTCATTTTTGTTTTAGTTTTTATTTAAATAAAAAATTAACATTAAATCGAATTTTTATAACAAATTATACGCATATCCCATTTTATCCTTTTCTTGAATTATCTTCATTATTGCCTTAATAGCCAAAAAGAAACAGTAGTTAGTTTCTTTTTTGAGGAAAGATGTTCATAGAAATAACCCATTAGGGAGGGAATTAGTGCCAAGATTCATTGCCAAAATAAGATAGGTTTTTGTAGGAAGATATGTCTAATGACTCGAATGATGAACTTAAAGTTTTCTAGAGAAAAGACACATTTTTATAAAACTTTAAACTATAGATCTGCAAAGTTCGGGCTGGGCCTAATATTTTTTAAAAAATTCTGGCCGGGTCGGGTCGGATTTTGGCAATTTTTTTAAATATATCTAAATTTATCAATTTTATATTGAATTTTTTATGTAAAATAAAAATATTTGATTTTATTTATTGAAACTAAACGACATATAACATATGTCTTTTATGAGTAATTATAAAAATTAATTTCTATATTTAAAAAATTTCGGGTTCGGGCCGGGCCGGCAAAACTTTGAAAAATTTCGGGCAGGGCCGGGCTTGAAAAATTAGGCTCGATGCAGATCACTATAAACTATTTATAAACATAAATCTTGTTTATAAAATATACTACTTTAAGATTATTGTAAAAAAAGGAATAATATACATATGTAATAATTTTTATTGCTTTTATTTTCTAATTTTTTATTAAATCAATATATTACAATAAACAAAATCATCCCATTAAAAAACTATAATAATTCTATGATATTTGAAAAATATCAACAAAAACATAATCGATAATCACAAGGTTAAATAAAAATATACATAAAATAAAACGAACTCCCTTTTATCGAATACATTTCATAAAATAAAGTAAATATCTGTCACTTGAAACTGTCAGACACAACATGACCCCCCCCCCCCTCTTTCGAAACTAATTCGGGATGGGATAATTACATAATAAATATCTGGCAATTTTGCCATGAACTTCTTATTTTAATATAATTTTTATTCGTTTTTTCATAGATTTTTATATAAATCGTAATGACCCAAAGGTTAATGGCAAAATTGGCTACAATTTATACGATAAGTTTTCTAAACAAGCTGGAATACATTTCCGGTAAAATCAGATTTTTAAAGTTGAAAAAATAATATATTGCAGAAAAAAACACATTGAAGCTAACATAATATAAAAATACAGCAAAATATAATAAACGATGAAGTAAAATTAATTTTCCGCCTGGTTGGTACCTAGTCAAATATAATAAAGTAGTATAAATTTAAAAATTTTAGTTTTGGGAATAAATTTATTTTATATTAAAATTTAACGTTTTTATAAACATTTATGTTAAAAAACATGTTTTCGGCCATAAATTTACCTAAAGGTAGTGTTATAAACTAACGCTTTTGTGAACGAAGTTCGTTTTTTAAAAAAGATAAACTTCCTTTCATTTTTGACGAACTTTGAACCTAAATGCGTTTCTTTTTAGTGAACAACACATTCGAATTTAATGTTCGTTCTTTTGAAAAATTTAATAATCCAAATTTTTTAAGAAAAAAAGTTTTATATTTTATAATCAACTGTTTTTCCTTTTTCACATTTCAATTTTTTTAACACGCCATTATTATCGTTTATTAATTTGGATATTAATGTTTATATTTTAATTTATAGATAAGCATAAGCATGGATATTATTATTTCATCATCTGATATATTTTACATTAATATCCTATAATGAAGGAACTAATTTAATACTTATAAAATGTAAAAAATGCCCAAAAATTATATCTTCAAGTTCCAATTTAACGACATTTGATTCTAATATTAATTATTTTATATAATATAATATAACTAAGAAATCATTAATTTTAAAGAGAAAATGCATTTGGGCTATTTGACCCCAACAATAACGATATTTATTCTAAAATTATTCCAAAGATGTGGTTCAACCATTGATAGACACAGTTAAATGGAATAGAATGTATAAAATTTTCACCATCAAATTAATTATATATATTTTATTGTTTTTCTGCATTTATACATCCAGTTTTCAAGCTTCAATGGCCACAGATTAGGCCTATTCAAAAAAATTCGATACGAATAATAAATTATTTGTTTAATCCGAATACGAATAATCATTTATTGATTCGAATAAAACGAATTATTCGTAATATTTAATAAATTGCTTTTTTTTAAAATAAATCTAACATTTGTCATTTCTATTTGATAACCTGCCAATCTGACAGGTGATGTGTTTATAAAAAGACTAGCAAAAATTTTAATTTTAATTTCCCGTATTTTTTCAAAATTAATTATATTAAAAATTACACAAACCACTAGTATATAAAAATATATACAAACCAAAGGTATATAAAAATATATAATATCTTTATAATAAAATATTGTTAGCTAGTCTAATTATGTTAGAGGAGAATGATTTTGATGAAAAAGTTATGGTTGATGTTGACAAAATTTCTTCACAAAAAAGAGCGATTATATGAGATCAATATCAACTCAATGGTGAAAAGTCTACTTGCAATCATTGCAAGAGCATTATTAAATGCAAAGGCAAAACAACAACGCCTCTTATTAATCATTATAATAGGTTTCATTCACATCTGTAAAAACAGTAATAAAATTGACACTTTTTTAAAGCCTATATCACCTTTTTCTTTATCTAAAAAAATTAATATACAGATAACTTACTAAAATTATTTATTGATACATTTTCTTTAAAATATCCATCAATAAAAATAGGGCACATTCGATGCTTTGCTCACGTTATTAATTTAATATCCAACGAATTTTTAAAAATTTTAAATCCATCAATTTTAAAACTACGAAACATTATTAGGATACTTAATTCTCCTAAAAAATTAAATTTATTAAAAAATATATGTAGTTCACTACACCCTATAAATTTTTTATAACCCAAATTGGATTGTGAAATAAGGTGGAATAGCACCTATCAAATGATTGAAAGGGGCTTATTGTTAAAGCCTGCTATAAAAAAATTAGTTAATGAAGTTATAACTAATATTATAATTCTTCAAGAAAAACAATTATCAGAGGTAAACTAAAATTTATAAATAGGTAAATAACACTTTATTAACATAACATACAGGAGGAATGGGACGATCTTGTAAAAATTAAATCTATCCTATTGCCTTTGTATGAGACTACAAATATGGTTTGTGGGGAAAATTATCCTACTTATAATTTGGTTATACCCTATTATATTCTAATTCTTGAACACTTAAAAAATGAGAAACCTTGTTTTCATAACCTCTAACAATGATTTCAAAGTGGCATGTGTGGGCTATTACAATTTAACTGCAGATGATGCAATAATAGCCACAATATTGGATCCCAGGGTCACAATATAATATTTTAAATCAATATCTCTTGATTATGATATTGATATATCCAGGTTAACAGACAAGTTTAAAGAGATTTACAGCAGATATACAGGTATTTAATTTACCCCCATTTAAATACATATCATTTTATTTTATAAGCTGCTGATAATTACAACTGCCAAAAATAAGGATGAAAGTTAACAAAACAGGCTTGACATTGTTTTTAAACAAAATTATGTTCAACTGTGTGAAATCGATTTTTACCTGAGTGAGCCAAGATCAAAGAGTGATACTGATCCATTAATGTGGTAGAAGACAAATGCACATAGGATCCCCATACTCTCAAAAATGGCAAGAGATTATTTATCTATACAAGGAACATCAACTGCGTGTGAAAGACTTTTCTCAGTTGACTAATTTGTTGTCAAAAAACTGCATGTCGTATAAAGAAGAAAATATAAGAAAAACCCTTTGCCTTAAAAATTGGCCTAAAATTATAAATTAAATGAATAATATAATATTTTAATTTTGTTTATAACTTGATTATATTAATTTGTCATCGGATTATTATAATTTTTCTGTTTGAAATCAAATTTGCAATAAAAAAATTTGTCAATATATTTGAGTATGGTTTATTTTATTAAGAAAATTTATTTCAATTATTCGAATAATTTGAATCGAATACAAATAGTAGATTTTATTATTCGTATGCATTCAAAACGAATAATGCACTATTCGATTCGAATACGTTTTTGAATAGGCCTACCACAGATAAAACTTCCACAGAACGAACCTATAAAAAATAGCTTTATTGAAAAAATGCATTGTAAACCCTAGAAATGACAATGCAAAAACTCTTAATTTCGAGATATCCTTTTTTTCGATTTTTTGAAGCAAAGAACAAAACAAATGTTTTTAATATATTCCCTTCGTTAAAAGAGTTTATTAAGTATAATACTGCAATCCCCTCATCTGCCCCTGTAGTGCGCATTTTTATCATAGTTAATACCATATTAACTGCCAAGCGCTCCTGTCTATCAGATAAAAATTTTGAAAAACAATTGTTATAATTAATAAGAAAAATTTTTTATAAATAAAAATATCTTTTTATTCGCTATATTATATTGTTTAATTATATTATTTAAACTATATTATTTTTTAACATGATTAATATATTGTGTTTAAGACATTTATTTATATAATTAAATTTAAAAAAAATTTATCATTAAATTTTAAACGAATGTGACTAAGTTCCTTTTTTGAAAGTGAACGCGTTCATTTTTTTAAAAATGTTGCCGGTAAATTTTTTTAAAAAATATATTTGAAACGATAAGTCTATCATCAATCATTTTGGCCGAATTTGAATTTTTTTATCCAACTGTCCATTTCTTTTGATCGCCAGTTCCTCATTGATTTGTTCTAATTTAGTCTGAGATGTTGAATCATCCATGCAATATTGTGAAATATGTATGTCAGTTTTAGATTCCTTGATTGGCTGATAGTTTTTCCTCAATTTTCACTTCTTCTATTTAATCTTATTAAGGTTTAACCTTTATAAGG